CAAGCGATAAGGTATTACGATCGAAGTTGAAAGACGTTTGTACGATGTTGTGGGATCGTTGAAGATACCCCTCACAGCAATTGAACTCCTAATGGAGGCAAGTTCTTGATGTTACATCTAAAGATATAGAATAGATAACCAGGTTATATAGAATAGATAACCAGGAATGCCACATATAATTATACTGCTCGACAGCAATTTTAATGGCGCACTTGCGTTTTATATACAGTGTGATCGTTCATTCTCAAAAGAATAAAGTTTTGAAGTCCTCAGATGTCACTACAGAAAAGACGTGGAGTATATATTGTTAACCGAAAGTACTTTTATAGTTTAATAAAAATATGCTGAAACACTGAACACGTGTACTTCAGTAGCATAAAGGAAATGTTCGATGGACGCTTAGGGCTGACATTATGGACCAGCACGCCGTTTGTACTCTTGAAGACTTTAGATATTTTATGTAATGATGTCATTTTCATCTTCCCGTGTTTCACGGCAAGAGTTTACGATACATACGAAAAATATTGTGCCCGATTTTTCCAGAATCATTTACCTAAGTAGATTTGCATGAAGTGATATTATGTGGTAGCCTTTATGGTGGATACATTTCACTGAGCTATGAAATAATTTTATTTGAAGTAATACTAACCTCATTGGCAATGTAAATTTACACCATAAAATGACGCTCCACGGAGAAAAAATGCTTTACTGGAAAATTCTACTAACAATACCAATAGAGCTAATATTCAGTGAATTTCCGATCTACTCTCTACCCATCCCAGTCTCATTGTCAGTGATTAAAATGGGTTTTTTGACCATGCTAATTTACGCAGAATTGCTACATTTTATGAGCGTTCCATAACTACCGCTGGTGATAACTTACTAGATTGGTATTTCATACAATACAGTAATGTGTTTTTTGAGAAATGGTTCGACGGGTCTTGAAGGATGTTCGTGAAGAATTTCTACAAAACATTTAAGGTTACACAACGTTTGACTTTGGCCCCCGTTTTTCTGATGACACGGAAAATCGTTGGCATTAAGCGACTACGCTGAGCCTGAATATCTACGATCAGTCTAACTGAGACGTAAAAGATCGACATGACTGCTATTTAGAACGAAAACACATATGACGGCTTGAGAGAGGGTTTCCTATTTACCTTTACTCAAAAACAAAGATAATCTACGAGCAACAAGCCTGCTGCTAGACAAATCAAAGCAGTTACGTGGTTTTATCTAATGTAATGTTGTTTGGAACAATTAAATGGTGTTTTACAAGCTCGCGATTTACCACTGATTAACGATAAAGTCGCATTTATCAATGAACTAATACCCCTTCAGTAGATTTTCCCGAAAAAAAAGTTAACCAATATTTTTGCAGCTATTACTCTTTACACATTAATTAGCTTATTCAGTGAATGTTTTATTTTTTCATTGCATAACCTGATACACTACAGCTTTAACAAATTCTATCGAATCATCGGATACGCATTAAAAGGGAACAAAGCTCAATGCAGCCATTGAATGTACTGACTTTGTACTGGCCTGCACAAGTGCTCTAACTTATAACCTGGGTAGTTTTATTCGAACCTTTACAAACTGTTTCAAATTAACGAAAAAAGCTTGAAACTTTTCTTCAGTAAAAAAGGCCATGAATATATCTCTGTCTTTTAAACTGGACCGCCTCTAACCAGATTTTTTTGATCGCTTTTCCTCTTTCGACTCCGGTTTTCGCACGCCGAGCAAAAATCAATTGCTGCCTACCCTCCGCGCTGGACGAACCCCCCTCTAAGATAACAAAAACTTCTGCCTAAGATCGACGTTCGGGCTAGCATTATTCATATTACTATTATTACTATCATATCTGGTATGGCGTATGAGCTGAATTGTTATTAAATTATTATTAAATAGGATAGAGTTTTAAAAAGGCTAAAGATGTATAAAAAAAAAAAACAAAATCGATGAAATATACTCGTTTTTGTTTGAAGGAAAGCATAAGAAAAATTCTCGATTCTGATTCGCCACCCAGTATATGGATATACAAATGGTACTGAATGCTATCTATCATGTCTATATTTAGAGAAATAAGGCATAATTTTCTGTTGTATAGTTTTTTGCAGCTCAGAGATTAGCCGAAGATAATAGGTAGGTCATCGCAATGTGAACACTTCTGCGCTCTACCGTAAAATACAACGACCTTTTATGACGTTCCTCTAATTCCTTGGGCTTCTCGCGTGAGCGTACTGCAGTATAACATGCCATAGTGACAAAGCCACACCATCTATGAACTAATCCCTGTCTGCTGGGAGTGTTCTTCTATTCGTCAATGGCGCCATACAAAGCAGATAAGTGAATATTTGTCTGTGAAACTTTATACAGCAACTGTATGAAAATACATGCCGTAGTCTTTTCTATGACTGTATGTATCCATATTTCTCATTCTCTTTGACTTTCAGCAAAGTAGACGTGGACCTTTTTGACCTTGGAGCCTCGACGGGGACTACGATCTCGTCGGGTTCCTGGAAGGATAGATACAAATAGAAGAGCAAGACGCAACAGTTATCGCATATTTTACGCGTGGTCCATGAAGGTTCTATCCGCCGGGTGTATGTGGGTTTACTTCATTAACAGAGTGAGATTTTTAAATGTTTCGAATGTGTTCCCCTTGTATTTTCTCTTTCTTGAAGTTATCTATTATCGCTTTACTACTTTAAAAATGCGTATCTTATTTTTTCCTTGAACATTTACTGAGTACCGTGTGAAACCTTAGCTCAACTTGACACATTTCCCTGATCCTAGCTAGGTTTGTCCGGTTTTTGAAAAGCGCCTTAAAATATTGCTTCGCTGAGGTAAGGTGCCACCCGTGAAGACGATAAGCCTGAAACAGGGTAGCAATTCGAAACAAACCGAAAGGGCAGCGGTTACAGACCGGTTATTTGCGCCCCAGAAACGCTCTATTAAGGACCGGACAGGAGTCGAAAACAGGGAAATAGCATTCCTGGTAGCTGTTTTGCTGTGCACTCTTATTTTACGCTCTCTACTGTACTGCCACGCCACTGTGCACTGACCGTTCAACGAATTTTTTCAGCGTTCTTGCTACTGCAAGTTCTGCAACCTACCATTAGGTCGCAACCGACAACTGTCAGCTGGGCCATCTGGACCGTCGGCATTGCGAAGACCGCGATTGGTGCGAAGCAAACTGACGAAATACGCTTCGTAAAGGGAGATTTCGCTTGTCGGCTGTGCTCTCAATATGGGTCGTTAATCATTAATTTATGCTTTTTTTTTTTTTCCTCTTTAGAAATACAGATTTTTTTTTAGTTGTACCAACTGGGAAAATGGAGCTGAAAACGAAATTAAATGAATAGTAATAAGCCCTACCCTAAACAAGTTAAACGAAACCTTACGGTCAGGTGTAGCTTACAGAAATTCTCTATATATATTAAGTAAATGTCACTAATTCTGGATAACTTTGAGACGAACAACCGTCTGCTATCTTTTCCAGTTTGCCATTGCTCCGATATGAAACAGCAGCAATGACGTTTCGCCTATTTCACTCATGCTTCAGAACAACGGTGAAAAGATATTTGTAAATTGAATATCAGTATTTTCACTAGTAGCCAACTAATATTCTTATTTCTCAAGGCGGTTACTAGCGAATGTCATGAGCAACTCTATAATTCGGGCCCGGAACCCGTTCAGAGCCAACGGTTAAAGCCCAGTTGAATGAATGCTGTGCTTGCAATAGCGTCTTGAAACATATAGGAAAAAAAACTCTACTTAGATATATTCACGGCTTTAGAATTTAGGGGGTAAACCTGTCTTTGAACTCTCACCCATCCGCATATTATTAAGCAAGTTCAACTTCACGTTGTTAAATGTTATTGCATCGTAACGGCTTCAACTTCTATCTACGCCTGTGACTGTGCATATACCTAATTACCGTATCTAGTAGCCTCGTTTTCAGCGAGGGAATTCATTACATGCTATAATATCAAGGGATATTTAGTCTCTTGAAAGCAGAAACAGCATGCACGCTTGTAAAATGTGAGTCTAGTCTTAGCTTAGACACATCGTTTCAATATTACGTAGAATAACATTGTGTGGAAATCGATCGTAGAAAAATTAGTACCATTATTAGGGGACTGATGGGAAGATATTGTTGTGAGCGCACCGCATTCGCGAGCGTCATAATGACAGAAGAAATTTAGACGTTGTGGAAGATTGCGTTCCAATGGAAGAAACGTCATTGATCGACGAGAGGCAACAGATAAATTTAGGCAGTGGCTACTTTTCAACACCATCACGTTCAACCGCCCGTAAGATAATGTCTCAAAGCAACATAATCATATATGGAGGAATTAAATACGCTTGAACGCCAAAGCACACCCTGTCGATGTGTACGCTCAATCGTATATATTACTTAGCCCGAAATGAACACTGTATCGTATAACGATGCATGTAGAAACGCTTTTAACAACGTTTTCTACTCATTATCTCGATACTGGTCACAGTAAATCACCGAAATGTTCTGACTACAAATATCTGCGAAATACTAAACATCTGATCACGTTAACTGGTGGCTCAGGCGCCATACTCACTGAACTCGAGGCTAATAAAAAGTGATAAATTGCGTTCCTCAAAAGCAAAATATTGCCCAACCTTTGTCTAATTCTCGAATCTTTGGTCGCCTGCAGATCTTTGCAGGGCATTTGTGTTATATTCGACTGTGCTATGTTTCTATCCCGTGGATTCGCTGCGCTCCATCTCTCACTCGCAGGCTGAATTACCTAACTCTTGCACTAGCAAGAAGCTTTAGAATGCGCATATGTTTTGTTAGGATAGTGAGACTAGCTTTGCCCTACAATGAACACATATCAGATATTAATTGCTAATTAAGGGCGTAATTGTTGAATCAATTTTGAACATTGTAGCTTTTTGCCCCTATGCACGCCCTTCTAACTTTAGCAGTCGTTAGTCATTGCGTTTCCATGAACGAAACGTCCATAGACAAACGGATCTTCGGAAAATGCTCATTTAGACTAAGGGAGCCAGGCTTGAATGTATGAACTGCAGCTGGAACTGTATAGCATAGTCAAGTTTCTACAGTGATTTCTTCTCAGCTTTCAATGTTACGTCGTATAATGCGACTGGCCTATTTAACGTTACGTTACAATTATAATCAGTTGTACATAGGTCGTGTGCGATTGGTGCACAGATCCAACTAATATACTCTAGCCTTTACAGAGTTTCAGTGCTGCACATTGTGAATCGCCTGATTTCCGTACCAATCTGTCACAGTACACGTCCTGGTTCACTGAGCAGAGCGGAACTCACGCCTGAACATGAGCCGACTACCGGCAGGTGATGCAAACGCAATGTTTCGAAAGGCAGTGAGACGTATCGTTCCTCGTGCGCGTTTCAACGGATACTTCTACCTGACGCAGATGATTATTCATTTCATTGTCACCAGTGCCATACTCTGTTATACGCGACATGGTGTTCTAGCTGGAGATTTGCAGAAGCATGATTATAACATTTGTCGTAAGTATCCGAAACGCAGACTGAAGGAACATTCGAATGATCGTAAACGCCCTAAAGCATCTACAGATCGTCACGCAACATACATTCGTTAAACTTCAAAAATAACACTGCCTTAAATGCTATTGTAAATGAGTGAATTTCTTTTCAATCATTAAAACCTTCTTTACTATTATTTCAGTGTTAAGCGAATCTCAGACGAAGGTCTATATCGACTGCGTTTTCGTGAACTCACCCATGACCCCTTCGGTAATCTCGACCTAATTTATTCAGTATGGCTCGAATCGTGGCCAGACTACGCCGTAAATGTTATGTTTTAATTGGGAGATTTTCTTCTATAGATGCAGTATTTAAGGATGCTCGATCTTGCGATTCCAATGATAGCCGCTACCAGCATCAAAAGATAGTACAGTGTGTATTGATGACTAGACAGAATTATTATAATTAAAACTAACTCAAATTGTTTTTAACAACGTATAGCTAAGGTCGCAAGTAAACGAGCTAACCGCAAAGTTTCCGGGTATAAACCTAGCTGAGATTACCTCGTTGATTTGTAAGGCCTCCAACTACGACGGCGAGATGGTTGTCGACCAGTTTTTGGATTCTTTTGAGGAGGATGTAAGCAACGAGGTAACTATAATTAATAACACAGATTGTGAAGGAAATAAAATGCAACCACCATATCACCACGTAGTCTGTCTAATAAGGAAGCTGAAGGCTCACAGATAGACCTGTAATCACAAGACTTGATCAAAAGTAGAGCATTATTACGGCTTTCACCATTGTAAGCTCTAAGATCGAGGAGCAAAAAGCTGCCAAATAGCTCTAAAGCCATATATATTGACCGATCTAAGAACTTTTAACACCTATTTTCTGTTCTGATCAAGCTCAAAATTGTATGCTTTTGGTTTATCACTGCCATCGCAGCACCACATTTAGCTGACTCTAGTTAGTTGGAGAGTTTTTTCTTCAGCACATTCGAACTAGTTACTCGTGAATCGGATGCAGCAAAATGCACGGTTGTTTACTACAAGCTTATACTGGACTTATCGTTCGTAATCCTCTCGCCGCCTTACATCTGATCAGTTATATAGTCAATGCACACAAGCGTAGGGTAGAATAACAAATCTTTCGACGGTATTTTACGAAAGCCCGAGCTTCAGCAGGAAAATCCATCCATAACCCTTTCACCTATCAACCTTTTCATCTACAACTAAAAATCTAGGTAGTTAATGTTTCCAGTAACTGTTGTGACTGATTGGTTATGTTTCGAGATAACGAACACCAGCGATAGTCGACAATCGTTCGTGGTCGTTGTCTAGATCATGTAAATATGACCCCTGTAATTCAAGATTTGCCAGGTACACAGATAGCCTATGCGTCGCAACATAAACCTGCTAAGCGTGTAAATTTATCAATAGTCTATTAAGAATGCTCGATTCTGGAATCGATCAAGAGAAACTGTGCAGATTTCTATTTCAGAAAGTAGATCTTTAATGCGTTTCAGGCGATTCGGATACTGCAGAAATGTCTTCCCCAAGTGCACAGTACGTTGTAAGCGCGACCGCAAATCGGTCAGGTAAAGAATCGAAATGAACACGATTATACGAGCTGAATTGTGTGAAAATAAAATTAGATTTGTGTCGATAACGAGGTGCCTGTTTATTGCTTTGATCAACGGTAAGTCGTCTCACAATAACCTCACGATCGGCGATCACGACGCGCATCACTTCGTTAGAGATAAGCCTGTCCTTGACTGCTACTTCACGTCAGATTTCTCGACTGATGTGAGTTTAGCTATGATTTTTCTCTATTTTGTATAGAGTGTGTGTGTATACATATATATGTATATATAGCATCATACTTTTGAATAAGTATATGGCTTTCGAATTCCTTCTCCGCTCTAGTAGTAACTTGCCGTAACATTTCACGATTAACTTACTACATGCTTACATTATAATACATTGATTGTATACTTTTGCTGCAACTACAGTATCCGTATGCTTACAACAAATAGCAGTAATGTCTACTGTCACAATGGAGTGTTTTAAAAAAAATCAAAATCATCCATACAAAAGCGAGTTACGATTCAGCGACATGATATATTTTCCTGGGTTTCGAGATAACGGAGTATCTTGCCTTGCCTGATATTACTGAGAATAATTGCTGCGGTACCTACTTCAATTGGTTTGCTTTGCTTCTTTTCACTTGATATTGGCAATCGATGGGGTTCTGAAGGCCTCGTTTTTGTCTGTTTTTATACTTATACGCCTGCCACGCACACCTCAGGTTAAACATAGGTTGGGGTTTTCCACGAAAATAGTTGACCAGAAGATAAAATAGTAGTCGACCGCGTATCGTCATGTACGATACTAATGTCCGTTAAAAAAAAATTGATTTAATTTGCCCTACTATCGCAAGGTTTCGGACGCTGGGCTTCTCACAAATGGGAACCTCATAGGTTTTGGACGGTGCTACTTCACTCTCGAAAAGTTCCCCTCAAGTTGCTTGACGGGCTACTGGATTTTTAGATCACGACAACTGCAATCGTTTCTCCGAACTTTTTCTTCGGTGCGATCTTTCAATAAAGGTCCCGTTACCGTCAATGTGATATTGATGTGCGTAAATTAATTAGCGACTTTGAAAAGATCACTGTCTAGCCAATACGTGTACATTTTTTTTATGTGTACTTACCTTCCATACGCGAACATTGAATACAGATAGCAGGACCAGGCGGAATACATTCGCTCGTTTGTATTTAAATTAAATTTGCTAAAAAATCGGGCGTCTGGTCGTTAATAGTGCTCTGCCTTTTGCTAGCACTTGATTCCACGGGCGTTGCAGGTAAACTATTCTAAATTTGCTCTGAAAGGAAATAGCCTTGCAACCGCGTCGCAAGGCAGACACGCAAATCTGTTTTAGAAGACCATCTTTATTTCATCCCTGTCTTTTTGCTACATTAGAAAAACAATTGTGTTTCATATCGCATTTTATAGACATTCAGTTTCAAAATCTATTAGTTCGGTTTCGATTAGCTCTGTCGAGAAGTTACTCTTCGAAATTACCGTAAAGCAACAGCAGTGTCAAGTTAAGTCAATATCAGTCAAGAAACAGCTCAGTTATTGCATAGTTATGGTACGAAATTGAAAACCATTTGCAAGAAACAGACGAACGCATGATGGCTATTAAGCATTAACCATTGTCAAGCACCGAATTTGCCATCTGTCTGTTATTTCCGTACTGTATTTATATACTGTAAGCTTCCCGGCTAAGCCGTGACTTATCAAACACATTGTTTATACTGTCGGTGCTCGGCACAGTAGCAGCGTCATGAAAATAGACAGGACGCTACCAAAACACAGCTATACCTTTCCCAACTCGGCTTGACTTTCATCGTCTCTGTCGTTTCCTGCCGTTAAATCGGAACTCGTTTATAGCAAGTACGTCACTGTATTCTTATTTCTCATTCAGATGATATACCCCATCGAGACTTTTGCCAATGTACCTCGCCCATCTTTTTTGGGCGCCTCGGTCACAGATGTTAAACACATCAGTTCAGAAAGATAGATCATTTAGTTGTTTTCCGTTTCCTCCGCCTTTACATAGTTTTGAGATTTTTTTTTGAGATTTACATAGTTCATTGGCTAATTTTACGTGTATTGATAGTATGTTATACACGCTAGGTCAATGAGTAAATCTGTTGCGTACAGAACACCGACCAATCACATCGTAGAGAATATCTAACACCCGTTATTTCAATACTTCATTTTTTGCTCAAGTGAATCATAAAAAATGCAGACTCGGATATCTTATAACGAGCTAGCTTTAGGATTAGACTAGGAAAACTCATAAATGCGTGTCTGGAAAGCTCGGCGTAATACTTGTAGGAATCAAAAAAAGCTACATTTTACTACGTTGATTGCTGGTTTCGGGCATCGCATTCATTGGAACAGGGCGGCAAATCGGCTTATAAGTTTCGCACATTAAGAGTTTTCTTTTAGAAACAAACGCTTTCAGCTTATGGGTGAATACTACCTAATCTAGCAGCTTTTGTCAAACTGCCCAGCCTTTAGTCTTACCTAAATCCTTTTAAAGCATCTGCCTCGCATTCTTCAAATATAGTTCCGTCTCTAGAGTTCGTTGACTTCGATTTTTCTCAGGTGCCGGGTTACCTCATTCTTACAGTCGTAGGAAGCTTTGAGGTGTGCATATTTTTGGTCTTTTATCGAGACTGCACGTGTTCTACCAATAACGTGCGTCTAATGTTAATTTTGAGAAGCTAGTTACCGAATTAATTGTCAATTTCGAACGTCATTGGTTACTGCGAACGCGGTATTTTTGGTTTTCTTGTTTCTGTATTGCTTGTACATCTCACAGGCTCTACTTTCGCCGAATCGATCCAGAAAGTTTCCAGAAACCTATAGACGACTAAAAAACATAAGCCATAATAATAGGCGTCATACATCAACTGTTAGCTATACGTTGAAATTGCTACAATGGCTTTCTTTCAAGTGGGTTAGATACTATATAACCTAATAAATGTTGAGCTAAAGTTACAAAGCCAAAACTCAGAGAAAAGACCTGGCTGAAGTTGATCTGTTTCGGATTGTATCATGTAACTGTACGGTAAATCGTCTATCTGTTATAACGTCTACGATACATCTTGACTTGCTACACAGATGATAGCAAATGACAATAGCGCAATGGAAAACTTTTCTGCATACTCTGCTCCCCTGATGATGGTTGTTGCTACGACATTCGACCTTGGTCAGGATGGATATTGTAAAACCCGCAAAGCGACCCGGGTCATCGTAAAAATTACAAGGAACAGTGTTAATTGAGGCTGTAAATTAATGCAATATAGGTCAAAAAAATATATACATATATATATATATAGTAACGACTATTATAAATGAGGCTTTATCTGATACAGCTTTAGTGTTAAGCGACTCTCAAATGAAATTCTAACTTGATTGTGTTGCCGCGAAATCAAGGGCATAATAACAACAACCGCCTCTATCGGAAAGCCGCCGTTAAATCGCAACCAGACTGTCGGACTCCTATTTTAGCATCCTCTAGTTTTAAGCGCAAATATGGAAGATAATTACTCTCTCTCTCTCTCTCTATAACATAAATATAATATCAGAATTGTAATTATGCTAGACCTACCGCTATATGGAAAATATATTCTGAATTACATATAATTCTAACATATATATAGAGAACCGACTAGCAAATTAGTTACAGTTTTATAGGGAACGTGTCTTTGAACTATAGTAATAACCACTGTAACCGGTAGCTAAAAATGGAAGTACATGCGTTGTTTACGAAATTTCAGGTTAGTTTAACAAACTAACCTCTCTAAGTCTCTACGATGACGGTGCAGCTGTCATTGAGCAATTCTTGGATTTATTTAAGTGTAATGTACGAGCTGAGGTAATTAAAGCTTAAGTAATGTCGTAGAAATTCGAGGCTCAGATATGAACATAACTTAAAAATACATTTATCCAAATTATCTTTTTTGACGGAACATGACCCTCCCCTTCCCCCTAGGTATCGTTGATCTCGCTAGGGGGCCATTAAGCGTCGCGTGACGGTGACCATGTTAAATATAATACAGGCAAAAAATATGGCGATACTCGCGCCGATTGCACAAAATGGCTGACATAAGGAGCTCAAGTAATTTGAAAAGTCGTTAAACCTCAGCTACCAAAAAGTGGTTTTGAGATCAACACTGTCGACACGACACATGGGTACAAGAGAAGAGTTTAAGAATATTTTTGAGACTATTACCTAGATTTAGGTGATATATTTTAATTACTCCTGTCTTGGCCAGACTGACATCTAGCTAGCAAGTAGCGAATTCCATGATACGGATAGTCTAAATATAGCCAGAACAATCAAGTCCAGGAATACATACCGAGAGAGATTGTGATTTATTGAGTGTCCAAATTGTTTTACCAACGTATAATATTTATCTTGACTGGTTAATACTCTGAGATACCGAACAAATTATGTCCCCTGTTGGATGCTGAACTAACATTTTCAAGTAATTGGATTTCAGATCCAAGCATTCGAAGTTGTATGACCGCAGCAAAGGGGTTAACCAATTAAATGAAAAAAATCGCCAAATAAGCTCGGTTTCTGTAGGATTGGTTAGGAAAAAGGGCCTAATGAAAATACATGCACCAAAAGGATTTGGAAATTATAGGGCTAAAAGTACGTACAAATAGTACAGGCCCTACTTGCTGGCGATACGATGTTTTCTGTTCCGCAAAAAAAACAGCAAGCGGCTAAAGTCAACACGCACTGAATTCCCTGACAGGCCTTTAATCATAACATGCTTCAATTATAAAGAGGCAACAGAGGCTTTTTCTAAGGGCGTCGAAAGAAGCAACAATTTAAGAGTTGCTTGGCTCGATTCAAGTGGACTGAATCTTTGAAACAAATAAAATAGTATCAAATATTTGGCCCTATGGGGCGGTAAAATTGACTGTGAGTGTGTTTTTGTTACTCATTTTCCGAGCACTTGTGAATCTGGCCTACAGCAGAGGGCTGTAGCCGCAGATGGGTGGGATAGCAACCGTCGGTGTGCG